AAAAAAATAATTTAACATGAAATTAACTTTAATAAGATGTGATAATAAGATCATCCCAATGGTAGTCAAGAAACTAGACTAATAAAATAGAAAAATTGAGACTTATTTTGTTTAAATAATTGTGTCATTTGTGTATTGAAAGTTAAAGAATATCGAAATTAATTACTAGTTAGTATATGCTTATTAAATTAATAAATTTTGAGTTTTTTTTTTTTTTTGTGAGACCCAAAAACACAATTAAAAAAAATAATAAACTATTACACTTAACCGTCTAAGATATCTTCGTGAGATAGGGAGTTATAAATGGCGTTAGAGAAGGGAGGTAAATGTAATGGAATGTTAAAATAGATGATAGATCATAGCATGGTTTGGAAGAGGAGAGGGAAAACTTTAAACTATTTGTCAGTACAATGAAAGTGAAGGGACTGTAGTTCCCATGTGATACAGTGGTGATCACATTGTTTTTTGGACAGCAAGTGGACTGCACCCACTTTTAAAATTTGACCTTCTTACAGCACAACATATACTAACACTTAATCATTTTCTACTGTGAAAAAAAAAAGTGAAGGGACTATAGTTGACTTTAACATTTTTCTATATATATAATGAAATATCATGTTAGCTATATTCTCATTTATTAATGTCATTTAAAAAAAATAGATTCATTTTAATTTTTAATTTTAAATTAAAAAATAATAATTTTTTTATAAAAATATTGTGAATATGTTAAATTAAAATGCCAAGGAAGGAATTGCATATTAGAACGTCTCCGGTTTTCAAGACAAAGAAATCCCATCTTAAATCAATCTATCATATGATATAGAACATAAGGTTTGCAAAAAAAAAAAAATATATATATATATATATATAGGGGTTAGTACTTGTCTGTGTTACCTCCAAAAAATTAGGAGAAAAAAGAACAAAAATCACCTTAATGCATGCTGTTGGAATAGGCCCAACATTCAATTTGGGCTGTACATAATGGGTCTAGGCTGACACCCATTAGCCCAAAGTGAGGGAGCACCAGCACAACCATACCCACGTGAGCAGCACTACGTGGGCCAATAAGATGTTTACATGTGCAGATGCATGTCGGCATTTGGGGCTATAAATACCCCTCAATTACCTCCATGCAAGGTATTAACTCTTCTATGTCTCTCTCTGCAATTACTCTTTGAGAACATCTCTCTCTAGAATATCGAGTATTGCTGACTTGAGCGTCGGAGTGTTTTCCCCGAGAAAACACCCTCGGAATTTTCAGGTGTAGAAGCAGCTGAGAATTTCAACAGTGTTGGACTACGAAACTGCCCAAACACATGCTTTAAAAATATGGTAGTTTAGTCTTTTTCAATAAAAATTTATTGAAACGATGTAGTTTTGAGATGATTTTCCTCCTAATCTTTAGGAGGTAAGACTAATAGGAACTTTTTCCATATATATATATATGACATTTGTGTATTTTTTTTGTATTGCCCCAGCCAATTGAAATAAATTCCAATGAATGTTTCAATATGTATGTATCTGTTTCTAGGGGAAATGCAAAGGCTCAAGGAAAGAACCATTCCAATGTTTTTGATTTTTCTGCTTTCCTCCAGGAACACTGAAAGGAACAACATTGTAAGATCATGATGAACTGGTTGCAAGGAATATGTACAAAAGAACTAGCCTCTGACAAAACTCCATGGCCCCGATCTAGTACCAATCCTGAAAAAATAGATAGGCAAGTTTTCCATGTTAATTTGGGGATCTCCTTGTGCAATCATCTTGTTTGGTCAATTTGTAGCTTTTGTATAAGTTTTGTTTGAGTAGAACTTTGAAGAAATGCTAATCATGAAATTATATTTAAAATTAACAAAAATTATTAAATTTAGAAGCTTAATGGTAAAAAATTTATAGAGATTTAACTTCTAACACTTTGAAAGTTGAAAACAATGTTTAGAAAATTCAAAGGATTATTCTAGAAAATTATACTTGGTTTAGTTTTAACTTTTATCGTAAACATTTTTATAGTAAAGAAAATCTTTTCAAAAATTGAGTGAAACAGATTCAATCATATAATCTCTTTAAAAGATATGATTTTTGTTAAAGCAATTTGAAAAAGTTATTTATTTGAAATTTCTAAGAATAATTGAGATGATAACTTCTCCAGGAAAAATATAAAGGAAAACAAAGAAAAATATAATCTTTCAATAGGAGGTATTACCTAAAAAGACCAGCAAACATTCTCAAGATCATATAGACGCACGAGGCAATCCAGATGCCAACATAGCCATGGCTGAAGGACAGTACAAATAAGCAAATAATGATCACAATTGCCACCAAAACCTGAAAGTTAAAGAAAATGGATGAAAGCAGGAACTGTTAAGAGACCAGAGGATGGAATGGTGTAATATGGAGAAGGGTTCAACATAAAATTGTTAAGAACTTATTTCATTAGGGAAGTGATGGTTGCTTTCTTATAGTATCATAGACAAGGCAGAATATGTGAAATCAGATGCTCCATAGTTGATTCCATCGATAGCAAAGCCTAGAGCGTTAATGGGTTGTGTTACTACAACAAACTATAACCAGGAGAAAATCTCAATTCTGGAAATGTTCCAGCATTCAGTGTACAGGAAAGAAAAGAAAAGAGAAGGAAAAAACTAATGTAATTTTTAGAGAGCTAGAGAGAGTTACTGGCATGCCAAGGCTAATAAGTTGCAACACGCCAATGTCCTTTGTAAATAATCTGGCAGAAAATGGTAATACAACTGAAAGGATGGCTGAAAGCACAAGCCCCAGAACCAAGGCAAACTGCACGTACAACCAGAAGAAATCTGAACAACACTAAAGGGAAATGGGGAACGCTATTGATAAAAAAGATAGTACCTGTAACACACGAGAAGTAGTAGTTAAAGCTTTCTCATAATCCTTCTTTGCAAATGAGCTTGCAAGGATTGCCTGGTAAAGGTGGAAAGACATTTTAGTCTACAATGTCGGTGAGAAATTCAGTTTAAAATGCACCCTTAGAAAATTTTACTATGACAAGGGTAACTTAATGCTATAAGTAAATTAAAGGCTATTCACACTTTCTAATAGTCTGCCATTCAAACTCCTGTCAAGGTCTTACTAACAAAACTGAAGTATAAACCTATCATTATGAATTTACTTAGAAATCTTACTTGGCCAGCAATAGCCAATCCATCAGCAAGCAGTGATGTTGCCAACCAAATCTGCAAGCAAACCTGAAAGGCAGCCACTGATATTGATCCCTGCTTTGCAGCCAGTGATGCTGCAACAGTCACACAGAATGTTGCAGCTATTACCTTAACCAATAGCAGTAATCCTGATTTAAGGAGCACAAAGAAATTACAATTATCAGTGTTCTATCTACTTTCTACCAGCAACTAAAATAAAATAAATTGATTGCCATGAAAACTGAAGAGTGTACACAGACACTTATATAGTGCAATGTATGCCTCACTAAATCCATTAGTAGTTTCAATTAAGCACCATAAGTTGTCCTCACCACTTTCAAGAAACCGCCTCTATTGTATATCTTTAAAACTTGGACGTAATAGATCTACTCGAGTACTTAATCCCCCAAAGAGTATGAAGGCAATTACAGATCTATACCAAACAGAAAACAAATGATTAGATGTGATGAAAGTTAGAGGTGTCTTCCCAAGAGAGAAAAGAGCCCAGAAATCAAAAACCATAAAAATGAAATTATCAATAAGGATGGTGACTTACTGAGAAATGACATGAGCAATGGCTGCACCATTGATCCCTAGACGGAGTATGAAAATAAATATTGGATCCAAAAGAACATTTGTTGCATCCCCCACAACTGTATTAACACTAGAAGATGGAATGAGATTGAGGGACGACCACACCATGAAAATGTAGAGTAGAAAAAAAAAAAGGGTCAAAGAAATTGCTTAGTTCCTTTAATGATAAAAAAAGGAAACAAATATCAAGAGATATATTTTCGTGAATATGTAACAACATGACGACACTCAAAGCACTCGCTAGAAGCCAAGGCAGTGGAGCTTCTCAATAAGAGTCAGAGTGATGGGTGAAGGGCGAGGGGGTTGATGTGAAGCTTGAATTATCTCTTCTATCCCTGACGTTTAAACCAAATGCCAGAGAGATTCATCATTTAACTTATGAAATTGTATTCAAGGTTGTGGCTGAGAAAAAAAAAAGGAACTTTTATTCAAGTTTCAAAGGATGCAAATGATATCGTTAACTGATATTCACTTTTAAAAGTGAATATCAGTTATCCTAACAACTCAGGCATATATCATTCCTTTTTCCGATGTAGTTATTTTCACATATAAACAACCAAATTCTAAATGCCAAAGTCCAATCAAGCTGCTTTCTTAGCATAATTGTAATATGCTCCCACAATTTGATTCATCCACCAGCAAAATTAACATAAATAAACCAAAACTTGAGAGGAAGCACAGCTCACTGGTAGCATATAATGGGGTTTTTGTATCCTTAAATCCTCGAAAGATCCCTTGCATAGCCAAAGAGAGAAGAATAGCTGGAGCACCAAGTGACCTTAATGTCAAGTATCTTTCTGCTGGTTTCCGCATGGGAGATTCGTGGAGAAAACATTACTACTGCCTTTATTCAATAGATGTTAATAATTAAAAGCTTGTTAAAAGGAATATCTGAAACTTCAGTTACTGGAGCAATAACAAAGGAAGGCTTACAGAATATACACCCATGTAACCTAACAGAGGTTTTGCTGTGAAAATTAGGAACAAAGTTTGGATGATCCCGAGAATGCTACCAATAAATAAAGCTGAAGATGCAGATGGTATATGCCTCCTCTCGTGCTCCATTTTGGCTTTTCTTGTTTTATTAGACTCATTACATCCTCCAGATAATATGTGGGAAGCTGTTACCAGAATAGCACTTAAGCCAAAATGCTACATCTGATGGATATATTCTGAGGATACAATCTTAAGGAATTGAAAAAGAACCTCACGTGGTAGGCTTTTATCTAAGAAAGAATCTAGTGGCAACATTATAATATCCTTTCAACAACAGCAAGGAAGAAAGGATAGGGAATCATTTATCATACCAGCTTGATTTATCAGTTTTTCCTTTTCGTTGTCAGAAGCACAACCCGTTTCAAGTTCCTTGTTTTCATCTCTTTCTGTGCATGAACAACTGGTAGCGTCTTCCTGAGCAACAAAAGAAGTAGTGATACTCATGAGAGGGAACATGGTGATCCTTGATACTTGATTAAATATAGCGACTGAAACTCCTACTGCAGCAAGCTCCACAAGACCTGTAAGAACAAGAACCAAAAGCCAAAAATAGTTATCATAACTTATGGAATATTAGATTAATGACTGATAATAAGTGAATAGATTACTTAAGGAGAAACTCTTGCAGTGTACAGTTGTATAAAGTATAAACCAATTAGTGGCCATAAACCAAACTACTGATGCATATATGGACACAAAATGATCTGATGATGAACAGAAACTATGAAAGCACGTATAAATGTCAACCTTGTATCAATAGCACTAGTATAACACAATAACTACTGCATGAATTAGAAGAAAAATGTATCTTCTTACAGAACAAAGCCACTGCATCCAAAAACTGAACAGCTTCTACAACCTTGTAATTGTCTTTGCTCTATCTGATG